AACTTAACCGAATCGGCCAAACAATCATTCGGCTAATTTTTATCAGGTGTTTCAGGAATTATGATAATAGCTGTAAGGTATTAACTCTAGCCGAACCCATCCCTAGTCTCGGACACTAGATTCCCAGAATTATGTTTCTGTGTGCGATAAATTTAGAATTATGCGAGTCTTGGAATATACGGTGGAATTTTTTGATTTGGTATTATTAAGGATTTCGAGTTGGATATAAAAAAAAATTATAAAGTATAAAATATATGAATGCCACAAAAGGAAAACCGCAATCCTTATTAGATGAAGAGTGACAGGTTTTTCTTTGCGACACTCATATACTAAAATTGAGTTGTACAATTGCATTTTGTTGATCTTAGTTGTAAATTGCTTATGAAATGCTTATGAAACCTTTATAAAACCGCTTATGCAACAATAATATTTTGATTTTTGTTAATATTTTTAATTTAAAAATATATAGTTATGTACGTATGTTGATGTCAAATATGGATGGAACCAGGGATGGTAAATGACTTGAAATGTCCCAAATGACTAGTTGGGTCATTTCATAATATTTATCAACCGATAATCTAGCGTCTTTTAGCCAATCAAATTTGATTATTATACATACTGTTACTATTGTTTGGGAGAGCGATGATAATTTATCGAGCAATTTAGCTCCAATAGTAAACTTAAAAGGATTTATAGGTATTGTTCGACAAGACTTTGAACACGTGAGGCCCGTAATTTAGGGTCTCGATTTACGTAGGTCAAGATCGGGCTCTTACTAAATTGATCCAAGTTTGGGTTATGCACGTAATTTAAGGATATTCAAAAAGGGTAACTAAGGCTGGCGTGATATCGTTAAGGTAGTTTTGAGACAATGGGACGAGTCTATATTGGGTAAATGGGCGAATAGCTTATGATAATACGGTTATTTGTAGTTAACAATGGTATATAATTGTTTTAGGGTTATAGGTTAAAGACTAGGTAACGGATAATAACAATGCAAAAAGAAATAAGGTAAAACAATAATAAAAAAATAAGTTGTTCAATAACAACATTCAATAAACAGTTTTTCAATAAATATGAGAATTCGATTCTGATTTCTACTTTATCCAAGACATAGAAGTCTGAGAGAAATTTTATTAAGGACAAAACTTGGGCTTTAAATACATTTTAATTTCCTATTACTATGACGTTTTCTAATAGTCTTCACCTCTTTCTATGATTCTTTCTTATTTCCGCGGCTATGGCTAACTTTCGCTACTAAGACCTTTGCTTACAATTGTACTCACTTGGCCGCATTTACTCTCAATTGTTAATAGTCGCTTACAATTGTTCGCGACAGACTCACAATTACTCACAATTGTTGACAACCGTCCACAATTGTTAACCGCCATTTCCCTCATACAAACAAACAAAAGATAAAAAATATATATAAATAAAAAAAATAATAAAAATAAATTAAAGAAATAATAAATAAAGAAACATCTAAGCCCGATTTTTCACGTAACGAAACTCGTGACAATTACCTGATTCGGTAGCACGTCTGAAACAGGTTATGTCGATCACCGAATCGAAAGAGCATTAAGCACAGATTTATATTTGATATTTAGGCATACTCATATAACTAAAATTCGCACTGAAAACTTTTATTTAGAAGTCAAACTACGGTTATCATAGTAAAATCTTGAGTTATTTACGATTTTTTTGTTTTTCTCAATGAGAAAACAGAAAAATCGTAAATAACTCAAGATTTTACTATTATAACCGTAGTTTGACTTCAAATTTTACTTATATGAGTATACCTAAATATCAAATATAAAGTAAATTAAATCTGTGCTTAATGCTCTTTCGATTCGGTGATCGACATAACCTGGCACAGATTTCAGACGTGCGACCTAGTCCAAACGGTGAGCACTTGATCGCTTCGCTATAACCAATTTCTAAGTTTTATATTCAGGCAAGTATTTTATTTATTACTCAAATGAACCTTATTAATTATGAGCGAGACTAATACTAATTAACTCCCACTATTATTACAATCGCTTCTCCTATATACATACTTCGGGTCACATTGCTTACATCATAATTTGCTCATATGATCATACGATCGTTTGACTCTTATATTACTACATAAATTTACCTCATATTTCATGTATACTGATTACCTTACTTCGGCATAATATCACATAATACCGACGGTTGCATAATTGATCATTATTTGATCACCTAATTCCCGATCGATCACTTACTTTTCACGTGCATCACGTGCACAAGAGAACGATTGATCGTTCGCTTTACCTTTATTCCCATACAAGTTTACCGCATACTGTATATCACCGTGACAATAGCAGGGATAGTAAAGAATTTTTTTTTGCGCCTATTTAAAACAGGCGATGGTTAAAAATAATTTGGGTTTAGATATATATGGATCATAAATATCAACAGGGAAATAAAAAACAATATATTGGCCGTCCCTAGTAGTTAGAATTATAAAAGTTTTATATAGATCAGTGTTCCTACCCATTATTCGTTTATCCATTTATCCATCGGATATCCAGATCTGAATTTATCGGATATCCGCGATATCTGTTAGATACCCGGTGTCACGGGCAAAACGTGACCTAAACGACGATCGGGATGAACAATCGACGATCGTGATTGCCCCGGATTTTGGCATTCACTACAAAATTGGGTGAAACCCGCATATTGGGGCCCATAAAATCGTACGATTCGTAGACAAGCGTACCACCAAATTGAGAAGAGATAACGATGTTTCAAAGTGGCAGACCTGGGCGGGTTTGTGTTAAAGAAAGAAAAGTCGGGTTAGTAAAAGCAGAATAGATAAATTGGAAAACAGAGAAATAATTTACCCAAATCTAGTAAAACCTTCAAATCGTATAATTGAATTGACGAAAGTGGGTGGAAAAAAAAAAGAGATCTAGGATAATTAAAATTATCCATAGTAAAAGAAAAGAGATAATTAAATAATGTACTTATCTTTCATGCGCCTGAAATAATAGTAAGGGCAAAGATCAAGTGTTAGTGAATTCGTCCAATAAAAAAAAACCCATAACGATAAATAAAATACATAATATTGATACTCGCCAAATCGTCTATTCCAGCCCTAAAAATCGACGTAACGCGAGATTTCTGGTTCCTTAGCGACAGACTCGCCGTTTTCACAGCCAACACCGGATATCTGAGCGATTTGGGTTATTCGGATAATAAGATATGGATAAACGGATGACGGATTTATTCGGATTGGAACTCTAATATAAATTTACTAACCCAATGTAGACTTATATAATTAAATCTTTATATATAGCTTAAGATATTATTTATGTATAATTTTATTATACCTACATTAAAATAGTTTAATTTACTTTGGCTATTCTCAAAAGTATTCAGTTTCGATATTAGAGGTTGAAACCGTTTAACTTAGTTCATTCATAAATTCTGGTTAACTCGGTTTTAATAGTACGTAACCTAATTTTAACAGTAAATTATTTTAATTCGGTTGTAGAACTTGATAAACCGCATGAACCGGGTTTAAATTTGGTTTTATTATGAAATATATATTGCACACAACCTGAATTAAATTCGGTTTGGATTTCAAACCAAATCCGATTTCCATTCTATATACTACAATAAGTAAAAATGTTACGCATGCTAGAAAACCTCCCAAACCTCTAATTAAGCTTTAACTTTAATATTTAAATTTAATTTTTTTTGTAAATTTAGATAATTCTATATAGAAATACAGTCCTCCTCCTCTATAATCACTCAGTTTGTTTTACATAAAAAAGATGTGATTATAAAATTTTAATAGTAATGTGATTATATAAAGTTTTTTTTAATAAATAAATTGCCAAAAATAGTGCTTATAAAGAGAGTGTGACTATATAGGAGGTGACTGTAGAGGACAACCATATATATATATTTATATAAATAACTACGTTGGGTTTGCATAAAAATAAATTAATAAAGTTAATAAAATTCTATAGGTTTATGTAAAAATATACTTCATGATGCACGTAGATTTATACACTGTATTAGGCTTTCAAAGTCAAATAATTCTGAATTAAATTTCTAAAAAAATGTATTAGTATAATTACAACGTTATTACTGGTTAAAAAATTATAATTATATAGTTAAAATACAGTGTGTACATACAAACAAAACTTAATTATAGCAATACAAATCAATAAAAAAGCCCATATTTTATTCTGTGTATCCTAGTACAAAATGCTTGCATAGCGGCACTGGCCGGTTACATAATTTACTGCCAATCATTTTATTTTCGCATTTAACATATCGTTCGTACGTACGTACCTACGTACCTACTTACCTTACAATTAATCACATGTCGAATGACAAAGGCTTTCCAGACATTTATAATAATCCATCTACAGAACTTTCAATAAATGGTATTATTTACAATGATAAGGACCAAGTTGATAATTCTTCAAATAAACCAAATTTATCGTTACAGAATTCGCAAGATTTCCTAAATAGAGTTATTGAAGAATTTTGTGACTTGTATAATAAAGAAGTTATGAAAGGAAATTATAATGACTCAATTATTTGCTCAATAGAACATCATTTGGCAAATAAGCAGCAAAAACCAGAAGAAATAATTGACTTATGTCTAAATAATCAAATAAACCCTATTATTCTAACCAATTCTATCATTCAACATATTCTTGGAATGTGCTATCATTATGGAAAATGGATTAAAAATGACAATAAAAAAGCATTTGCTCATTATCAAAAATCAGCTGAATTAAAAAATTCTAATGGAATGTGTGATCTCGGCTTTTGTTATGAACGTGGAATCGGTGTTGTAAAAGACGATTATAAAGCATTTATTTATTATCAAAATTCTGCGGATATGGAAGATCCATTTGGAATTGATTCTCTTGGTTATTGTTATCTAAATGGAATTGGAGTTGAAAAAGACAGCAATAAGGCATTAACTTATTTTCAAAAATTAGCGGAAATAGGCCATGCTGTAGGAATAAACAGCCTTAGTGATTGTTATGAAAATGGAACGGGTGTTGAAAAAGATGAACATAAGGCATTTATTTATTATCAAAAATCTGCTGAGATGGGTAATGCTAGCGGAATACGATATGTTGGTCATTGTTATGAAAATGGAATTGGCGTTGAAAAAGACGAACATAAGGCATTTATGTATTATCAAAAATCTGCTGATATGGGTAATACTAGTGGAATGAATAGGCTTGGACTTTGTTATGAAAATGGAATTGGAGTTGAAAAGGATAGAAATAAGGCATTTATTTATTATCAAAAATCTGCTGATTTGGGAAATTCTAGTGGAATGTACAATCTCGGAGATTGTTATGAAAGTGGAATTGGAGTTAAAAGGGATGGACATAAAGCGTTCATTTATTATCAAAAATCTACCGATATGGGCAATTCTGGTGGAATGTATAAAGTTGGTTGGTGTTATCAAGAAGGAATTGGAGTTGAAAAGAATGATTACAAGGCGTATTTTTATTATCAAAGATCTGCTAATTTGAATGATGCTAGCGGAATGAATAGGCTTGGACTTTGTTATGAAAACGGAATTGGAGTTGAAAAAGACAAATACAAGGCGTTCATATGTTATCAAAAATCTGCTGATATGGGTAATGCTAGTGGAATGTGCAATCTTGGTGATTGCTATGAAAATGGAATTGGGGTTGAAAAGGATGCACATAAGGCATTCATCAATTATCAAAAATCCGCTGATATAGGAAATTCTGATGCAATGATCAGAGTTGGTTATTGTTATGAAAATGGAACTGGAGTTGAAAAGGATGCCAATAAAGCATTTAGTTATTATCAAAAATCTGCCAATGTAGGTAATTCCTATGGAATATGTAGTCTTGGATATTGCTATGAAAATGGAACCGGAATTGAAAAGGATAAAAACTTGGCATTTATTAATTATCAAAAATCTGCTAATATGGATAATGTTTATGGTATGTATCAAGTTGGATATTGTTATCTTTATGGAATTGGAGTTGAAAAGGATGAATATAAAGCATTTATTTATCACCAAAAATGTGCCAATATACGCTAGTATAACAAGCAGTACTGGATCTTGTTATTAAAATGAATTAGATTGAAATAGATAGTTATTCTTTTAATCAAAAATTTGCAAAAGATTAATATGTTTATCTATATAGAAATTATGTTAGAAGTAATATAATAAAGCATTATTTATTTTAAAAATCTCTTAACTTGTAACTATTATGATAAATATTCTTGAATATTGTTATAAAGATGAATTAAAACTCTAAAATTTATAAAGCTAATTTTAAAACTCCATTTATGTATATACACAATTAATATACAAAAACTTAGACATTTTAATGCGCAGTAACAACTCGTTACT